ACAGCCTGAAAGTAGAGTTGCCAGGGGTCTAGTTTTCAGCCAGAATGCCTGGTTGAAAAGGGACCCTGGCAGCTCTGGTCAATACTGTTAACAAGAGTATTAAAATTCCAGTTGGAGTGGGGCTGGCAGCAGCAGAGCCGTCCTGTCCAGAGGACGAATTGGGGCGGCCACCCAGACCCCATGCTTTTGGGGAACCATAGCCGCCCCACCCATCCTATGGATGGGAGGGACTGAGGGATTACAAGGGCTTGGTGCAGGGGAACAGCAAGGGTCACCCCCCTGCATTCACCATGCGGGCGGTGACAGCAGCCAGCACGGCCTAGCAGCCTGCTGCACCACCCTGTCCCAACCCACTGCACTTGGCTTCTCTGCAGCAGCAGGAAGTAGAGCACCCTTCCGCAGGGCACTTGGCTTCCCACTGAGGCAGAGAAGCAGGCACAGTGGGCTGGAACATGGTGGAGCAGGCTGTCAGGCCACACTGTGGGGGAGTGATCCCTGCTGCTGCTGCACCAGACCCCCACCTGTAATGCTCTGGGCTGCACTGCTAATGAGAGGGGGCAAGGGGGTGAAGCGGGTACAGGGTTTGGGGAAGGGGTGTAGAGTGAGGTAGGCCCCACAGTGCAGGGAAGGGGTGTTTCCTTCCCAGTCCCTGGCTGGCTCCCTGCCTGGCTTTGCATCGCTTCCCAGAGGCAGAGACACGTCCCTAGTGTCTGAAGCAGAGGAACAGCCCAAGCATCACCTCTGCAGCTCCTAGTGGCTGGGAACCACGGCTAATGGGAGCTGTGGGAGCAGCACCTGTGGCAGAGCTGCCTGGCCATGTCTCTCCTTAGAAGCCAAGAGACATATTGCAGCTTCCAAAAAGCCACCATCCCACACCCCAACCTCCTGCCCTAACCCTAAGACTCCCTCCCACACCCAAACTCCATCCTAGAGCTTGCACCCTAAACTCCTTCCCTTGCCTGAAACCCCAGTTGCACTCAATTACCTCCTGGAACCCACACCCCAAACTCTTGGTATTTGCCCTAGTTCAGAACCCCCTCCTACTCTCCGAACCCCACACCCTAACCCCACCTCAGAGCCCATACTGCAGCTGACATCCACACTCTCTCCCGTGCGCCAATCCCCTGCTCCAGCCCAGTGAGAATAAGCAAATAAGGAAGGGTGGGGAAGAGCAGTGACAGGAGGGGAGATGGAGAGAGTGGGGGCAGGGCCTCAGACAAGGGGGGGGACCTCAGGGAAGAGGAGGGGAAGAGGCAAGCAGCCTCAGACAAGGGGTGGGACCTCAGGGAAGAGGAGGGGAAGAGGCAAGCATAAGGGTGTTTGGTTTTGCACAGTTAGAAAGATAGTAACATTAAATTGAAATGGTACGAAAGCTCAGTGTATACTAGGCCTTAGATTCTATTTGTGCTGCAAGGAGCACCTCCCAGAGCCAGCAGAGGTCGCTTTGCCTCTGGGAATTCACCCTGACAGCTGAATGGATGGACATGTCCCACCCCAAGCAAGTGCTGCCTAATTTTGGGGCTCCACTCCATTGTAGAGTGGACTTTCTGCCACCCCAGATTTTCTGTACCCTGTACCCACAGAACTATCCCCGGACTGAATCTAGCCTCTTTGTTATTCCAATAGTTTATATTGTTAAGACTGGTATTTCCTTTTCTTTTTGATCATGAGATTGTACAATGCAGAACATATTTTTTTCTTTGGGTACCATTCTTGTAAGTATTTTCCTTTCTCTCATCTGCAGCCCACAGACTCCCACTACAGCCAATTAATTTTGACCATGTTCTTTTTGGTTGATCAATTCTGATTTGAGAGACACTGTTGCTTGGCATCTGTAACTCAAAATCTAATTTTCTACAGCACAATTGTAACATTCATTCATTTTTAATGCTCATAAACAATTTGTCTTATTTGAAGGAGACAGTATATTTATTTATCTCAGTAAAAAACAGAATAATCTAATATGATCTCATTAGTATTGTTTACTGACACACAATGTTGGTAGCCAAACAGCCCTCAGAACAAGCTCTGTATGTTCTAAAGCATATTTTAACATTGTATCTAACATAGATTTGCAATTTTTTTCATTATATGCAATCTGTACCGAAGGATGTTCTCCCCCAGAGATATTCTATGTTGAAATCACTCATCGTGATACCTTGTGAATAGTTTCAGAAGCAAAATTTCAGCCCTTATTTAATTTTTGTGGTCAGTATTTTATGCAGCATCCTATTAAATATTCTTTTTTTCTTTGTACTCCCCTCATCTATGGCAGATTTTACTTCCCTTATCCAGGACCCCTGGTCTGGCAACATCCGTGGTCCAGCATGGACCACATAGCCCAGCAACAGGGTGGTCTGGTGGCAGAGCAGGAGCGTGTTAGGGGGCATCAGTGTGTGTTTTGTGGGAACGGACGACACAGCGAGGAGTTCTGGCCTCAGCAGTGGCTTAGAGTTCCAGTCCACGCAGTGGCCAGGAAGCTCTGTTCCAGGGTCGCATAGCCAGGTGGCTGATGACCTCTGCCCTGGCTATGGAGCTCTGGCTGTGGCGCTACAGCCTGGCAGCAGTGGGGCTGACAGCATCTAGAGAGCCACAGGGGGTTGGGGCAGTAGTGGGGGCAGGCTGGAGCCCTAAACCGGTGGCAGCAGAGGCCAGGAGGGCAGGAGGGGAGGGACCTTTCTTGGTCCAGCAAATATCCTTGTTCTGGACCAGTCAGGTACATTTAAAATTTCCTTCCTTCCTTGAAAGAAAGAAAGAAATGCTCTAATAACTCTAACAAAATATGTGGCTTCTGTGATTTACTTATTTGCTATCTCCTTTAAGTGGTTATATCTTGAAAAATATATCGATCTTAAAGGAAATTAGTCCTTCTGAGAATTACATTTTGGTGTTTTGGATTAACTGATTTTGATAGTTTTTGTTATAGCTCACTAAGTTTGATCATTTGCAAAAATATAATCGCTCATCGCTACAAGCTGAGTTATCCATTTTGCTGATGGCATACTCATAATTCTAATATCATAAAATTACAGCATTAAAATTATAAAACTAAAACTGGATGGATTAATTGGTAGCGAGGGTATTGTCATAGTCATCTTGCCATCGCTCCTGGTATAGTTGAACCAATACATGATATATTTAAACTTGCAACGTTTATTTTTTTTTTTATTTGAACCTCATCTGGTTAGGAAAGGTGTTTTATTGTTCTGCACATACTGGGAAAACTGATAAAAACAGCATGGGCTGGGAGCTGAGAGGCTCCATGCCTGCAGCCATCACTAGGATTGCAGCGGCAGGCAGGTAGGGCAGACTGTATGGCTGAACTACATGCAACCAAGGTCATTAGCCAGTGGGAGCCACTGGAAGTTTGCCGACCCGTCCCCACAATGAAAAAATATGAAGAACCCATTCATAAGCCGATCCCTGCTCTTTACAGCAGTATTTTTTCCAAAAAATAGTCATCTTATGAATGAGTATACAGGCAGTCCCTGGGTTACATCAATCCGACTTACGTCAGATCCCTATTTACGAACGGGGTGAGGCAACCCTCGCACACAGCAGCATCCCCGGGGCTCGCTCACCTGGATCCTGGGATCCACCTCCTCCTCCTTGGGGAAATCCCCCTCCTCGGCCCGGCCCCCGCCTGCAGCAGCAGCTGGCCACAGGGGAA